AAGCCGCATCTTTTGGAAATCTCGACTGTTTCCTTGGGCAGAAATGACGACGAGTATTGCCCATATCTCAGCCATCGTGCCGTAACTTTCCCCTAGTGTCGGTCGCCGTCGTTCGGCAAATTTATGAAATACACAAGCACGTTAACGCTGTATCACTGGCTATTCGTATTCTTTAAGTAATTGTAGCAATAGTCGTCGGAGATATGTCGAGTTGGCATTCGGGCAGCTGAGCAATCTCGCGGATGTATACGCGAGTACCATCCGCATGTAGATCAGCCAGCGAAAGATTGTTTGCGCGCGTAAGTGTATTGTCTGGAGAGGAGGGTATGGGACGTAGTTTATCGGAGCGAGGAAAGGTCATAAAATGCGGCCGTAGCCAAGACATTCGTATGCTAATCGGCGAACGGGCGTCGCGATGCAGCGGACGAGGCAGGCTGCAGGTCCCATGGGTATCGTGGCGGCGAGGCGAGCTCGCGCGCCACGGTGTGGCCGGAGAAAAAGGCGCACGGCCGACACGACTCCCTGATTGACGCCACGCGCGCCCATTATCTCTGCTGTCTGATTCAGTCGGCGCGCGACCGCTTCACCGTGATTTGTAATTAGGATCGGAGGCGCGCGCGCGCGCTCAAGTTTCCGTTCTCGAGCCAAGTTTCTCCTTGTTCGTCCCGCCTTGCGCTTGCGGAGTTGCGCGCGCGGCTTAGTTTCGCAGTCTGACGTGCCATTGAACACCGAAACAAACCGAATTTCCGGGAGCTGGCTCCCTCGCCTTTGACCAAGTTTACGCTTTCTTTCTCCGTCGACGGCCAAATTGGTTTTCGTTGTTCTGAAAGTGCCGAGGAGGAGTGCACGAAAGAGTAAGCGTGAGGAGCGAGAGCTCGCGCAACGGCCAGGCGATCAGGTGCGCGCGGAGGAAAAGTGGTTCTCGAGCTGGGGAAGCGCTAAGATTGCCGGCGGCGAGTCCTTCTGAAAAAAATTTGCGAAGCAGCGGGCGGCGAGGCAACCCGAGGCGACCTCGTTGCTCGGGACAATCGATCGCGCTCCTAAATCCTGTGGGCAGCATTGACGACGGGCAGGCAGATCACGCTACGCCCATTAAGCGACCCTCGTTCCTCAGTCCATCGACAGCTCGACGTCGCCAGTGTCTTCTTCCCTCGTTACAGGAGAGCTGAAAAATCGACCTCTTGCCAGCCAAAATTTCTATTTTTATATATAGATACATAGATAGCCAGCTTATTTAGGGGCGCGCCAGAGACAAAGAGGCTTCTCTCCGATACGCGTCGGGATGGGGATCAAGGGAACCGGTTGTATCGCCAAAATGGACATATCTTCCCTATCTACTTTCGCCCTGCTCGCAGCCGGCCGCGCTCAACTCGACGCTGCTCGATGAAATTCCTCCTTTGGGCTTGCGCCCGCCCGAGCGATTCTGACCGAGGGCTTCTTCCATTGGTCCACGCAATTTTTTTTCCTTCCACGCGGAAGCTCTCCCGTCGGATATCGCCGATGTACGACTTGCCGAATAATCTCCCCGGAAAAGACATTTGGCAGCTATGCAAAATATCTCTTCCGCTTGCGCTTCGATGTTTGCTAGTGTTCGAGACGAACATTCCCCTGTTTCCTATCAACATTTCTCGCCAAGATACATCCGATTTGGTTATAAAGACCTCGAGCCGTCACGTCCTCAAGATAAGAAAAGAAAGAATTTAGAGATCACCTTGTCATTTTCGATTTTTTGCGTCACTCGGAAGGGAATAGTATCTCTCTCGTGCAAGAAATCCATTTCACAGATTTCAAAGAAAGAGACGTGCCAAAGAACAAAGGGAATATCCATTTGCTAAATCAAATTACTTACTTCATCGAAAGACTCTCTAAATTAAAAGGAAGAAAGACGTTTGATGGTCATCCGTAAAAGTATCTTCGATCTGACAGTGACTTTATTATTCAAAATCGGAGTTTTCTGTGCGATAAGCCAGATCGCGCGACTGATTGCGCCGAAGGCAATCACGGAAACATCGAGCATTATTGAGGAGGAGGTGATTTATCCGGATGCCTGCGAATAGAGAGACATGCGCGTAAATACATGTTGCATCGGCAAGTGCTGAATGTCACAGTAGGAAGATAAAGCGTGCGAATACGAACAGCGTATCGTTGATCTACGCATCAATAATGCTCTTATCGTGCTCTATGGAAGTCGACAGTGGTGATCGATTGTGCAGCTGCGCCCGCTTGGAATACTTCGACGTTGCCCAGCTCGAATTGCGCAGCGATAAGCTTTGCTGCCGAGTGAAATTCCAACAGTTCGCTAAATTATTTGATTCAATTCAAATTTCAACATTCAAATCCTCGCGGCCGATCAGATCGACATCGGCCGCCGCTGCCGGTCAGTAGCCTCATCGGCAGGAAATTGAATTGGCAATGGCCCCCTGGCAAAGTTGACGAACTGCTCTGGCCGAATCGTCGCCGTTCGTTGCGCGCGCTCCAGTTGACTCGACCCGCCGATTCGTAATTCAAATTGCAGCCTAATCGACCCCTAGGAAGCGCCACATTATGGCCGCGGTGCATCAGTGCGAGGAATCGCAGTGGCAGGTATGTCTGGCGCTTGCACTAGCGACGCGGCTGTGATGTCGCGCCACCGTAATGTGCAACACACTTGTTGCTCTCGGCGGCGGCGGCGGCGGCGGCGGCGGCGGCGGCGCGCGCGTAAAACTGCATAGCGCTGCTCGCTCGTTCCACACCAGGAATGCGCTCGTGAGCAGCGACTTCCTTTGTGCTTTATTTTTATCGCTTTTCCTCGCGGCGAAATATCATTTTCCTGACGGAACATGAAACGTAAGCCAATATCGTCGTTTGCGCGTGCGGAAAGTGGTAAATTCGAAAAGAGCATCCGGCAGACTCGTGGGTAAATGACGCGAGCCTGGGGGTGTCGGCTCGGGATGCGTCAATGTGGTCCTGGATGGGAGAGAGAGAGAGAGAGAGAGAGAGAGAGAGAGAGAGAGTGCGCGAGGCGACGAGTGAGTATACAGCGGCTGGATCAATCGTGCCGTTCAGTCTGCTTAATGAGCCCGAAGTGCTAAATTGAGCGGCGGCCAAACAACGACTCAGCCGGGCCGGCGCTTTCCTTCCGTCGTCCTCGAATCGTCGCTCGACCGTCGCGAGTACGAAGAGTGCGCTTCGCGTCTAAAACTAGAGCCGCGAGCGATGCCAACCAATGGCCGGGACTCGAAGCTCGGAATGATATGTACGTATGACTCCGATGAGCGGCAAAACGCCCGCGGCGGGGCGTCGGCAGCCGAGCTTCGCGATCTGCATTGCTAATGCCATCCGCTCGAAATCTGCCCCTCCAGTTGGCTCGCGTTCGCGCCGCCCGCCGCGCTGCAGTACTACTTAGGGCAGCTGCTAATTAACCGGCTCTCGGCTGCGCCGCGCGGCTATTTCGGACGCGCCGCTAGCAACTGAAATATCCGCGCACACCTACACATCGTGCTCGTGCTCTCGCGGCCGTACGCACGGATAATTAGATGGCGTAAGCGCGTTCTCCTCTTGCCGCTGCGCCCTATAGGTCATGTCGACGATTAATGGCCTGGCTTAGCCTCCTCTCTCTCCCTCTCACGCTCTCTTTCGTACTCTTCCAAGCTTGCATTAATTTACGACGCGAGAGCTCGCCGCAAGCAGCTGCTTTCATCGCCCTGTTAAACACTAATCGCATCCTCTCCCCGACACCATCTCTCTTAAATTGAAAATAATACGCCGTCTCTCATCCTCGCGCTAACGCGTTCACTGCTACGCAGCTCGCGCAAGGTTAACCGATGGCCGCTAATGTCTTCGCGATTGCATCCGCGCGAGTAAGACGGCTTGCGATTTCTCCTCGACGTTTCATCGGGGAGGCCGTCTGTTGCTCGAGACCAATTTCTTACCGCCTGTCGTTACTCGATCCTACGAATACGTGCGATTTCTCGTCGATGCTTACAGCCAAGTGGTCCTTGATCTGCGCGAACTCGCGCAGGAAGGTAGATACGTCAATGTTGGACAATTTTTCAATTTCTCTTTTGAACGTGTCGAGGAGCAATCGAGGAGTAATCAATTTTTCTCATTTATTTTTTGGGACGAGGAAGGGGGTGGCGATAAAATGGGATTCAAAAGCGCGCGCAGCGCATTCAAGCCGTGATATTGCAGTATTAATTTAAACTTTGAGCTGACGTTCAAAAAGCGAGGATCACGAGAACAATAAGAATTTTCGGTTCTTTTTTGGGATATTGATACTTTTTCACGTAAACTTTAACAGAATAATATCAAGTCTAATAATTTTGCGAAAGAGAGCTTGTTTGTTGCGACGTCGACGATCACGTTTGACAATGAGTACTCGTCCAATTGGAAAATATGCGTCGTGTGAAAATTCCTGAGAACGGGCAACGTATCCTCAATAGTTTTGCCAGCGCACTAATTTCATTAGCATGGCTTTAATGAAAAATGCGGCTGTGGCGGTTGTAGTGTGGTCAGAGCTAATTTCCTTCCAGTTTCTAATTAAAAACGATAAAATGAGGTAGCAGTTTAGCCACGCATAAATTCAAACGTGCATTGCTGGGCGGCCAACGAAGCTTATTTCATTTCAATACTCGCGAAAACTTTGTGCGCGATGAGCGCACGAGCTTTTGTGAGCAGCCAGTGTTTGCGCGCCAGTATCGAGGCGGAAGATAAATGAAATGCTCGCGATATTGCGAAATATCATTTGGAAAATGCGTTCCGCGAAAGGAAAGCGGATGAAATGCCCGGCGAAGCGATTTTATTGAGCTTTCAATGAATTTGGGTCGAATTTCGCGCCAACGATATGCCCGCGCGCCAAGTCAGTTTCGAGATGCTCGAGAGGAAAAGTCCTTGTAATCTGCACGCGATCCCCGATCCGTTACAGCGGCTCGGTTGCCAGTGCCTTGAGTTGCGAGAGAAGTTCGGTCGCGGGAGTAGTCAGAAGAAAGCCAACTAACGATGGACCATTCGACGGGGCGAAGACGCGTTTCTGGGTCCAGTGTGCGAGTACGTGCTGGCGCCGGTGGCGAGATACGCAGGCGTCTGGGGCATTCCCGTGCTGACGGCGGGTGGCCAGGCCGACGCCTTCCGCCACAAGGACGATAATTACCCGACGCTCACGCGAATGATGGGCTCGCATCGGCTGGTCGGCGAGGCGCTTCAGCACATCCTCCAAGGCTTCGGCTGGAAGGTCGCGGCCTTGCTCTTCCACAACCACGCGCCCGACAGCAGCCGCGGCAACTCTAAGTGTCATTTCACCCTCGGCGCCGTGTACTTCGCTTTAAATCAGACCTCCCTGCACAAGAGCTTTAACCAGGAAGCGACCAGCAGCGAGGACTACAAGGAGCTGCTCACCTTCGTCTCCAAGTCCGCCAGAAGTAAGTTCAGACTCTACGACTAACTTTCGACAATTTCCTTCTTTCCCTCCGCGCCCCCGAGCACACTTATTACACGTCGCAACTCGAGCGAGGGCAGCGAACAGTTCGTCTCGGGGCGATCGCTATTGACGCTTGATAGATGACTCTTTGCCTGCGAGATGTAGTCGCTTGGCCTAATTTTCACGTTAAAAATTAGAGCCCTCTATATATCTCTGTCGGGACTCTGCCGACTCAACTTTGTCAATGTGCCTGTGAATCGGATGGGCTTATGACGGCGGCTCGCAGGCGTGCAGTGAGCGATTGAATTTCAGCGGTCCATCCCGTCTTGCGACCTCCCGCGTACAAAAGAAAGCAAGGTAAAGCAGAGGCGATGAGTATCTTTATAGAAAAGAAAAGAATGGATGTAGGATAGTCGCGGCCGAACAATGGTCCGCAGAGCGGTCAATCGACGCACGGATCCCTTGCGGGATACGGCGATTACGATTCCGCAGACAGCCTTTCGATATCGGCCCGCTGCCCCTCTGAATAATTCAGACGCGCGCGAGCTTTCGTCGAGCGTGATTGGCCGCGCGTATAGGCGTGCATTTCCGCAGCGTCATCGCGGCGGCCCCTTCGTTTGCTCGCCACCAGAGTCACTGGCGGCGCGACACGATGTGAACGCGATTACTAGATTAGGACGTGCTTTTGCGGCAGTGGCCTTGAGATCGATTTTAAAAGGAGCGCATCACTCGAACAGCCGCCTGCTCACATAGTACACTTCTATTTTTTTCGTTTTTCACCTTCGTTATTACCTATATAACCTAGCTATGTCGAATGATCTACTCGTAATTATCTATTGTTGCGAGTGATCCGAGGAGACTATAACATGAATACATTTTAGCTATTGCCAGCTAGTGGTAAAACTCTTTAAATTTCAGGCTTATGGTCATTTTCGAGGATTTAGCGTACGTCACTAAGAGCAAAGTGCCGTTAAAAGCCACGTAATGTCTCGATGTTGCGCGCCGCGCTTTTGAGAGGCAAGTACAATCCCGAAATTTCACAGCTCGCGGCAACATTTCGCACTTCTCCGTAGGTCCAACAGCGGGATAGCCTTCTTCGCGCGCGACGCATACGTATACTGTATGTAAACGCAAAGATTCGGACGGTCGGCCAGACAAAGAGAAAATAAAACGAAGAGAAATAAAACTAGGCGTAGAGCCGACGACAGTTTCAGCAGCGAACAGGAGAAAGCTCGGGTCTCGTCCTAGGCCACCGCCGACTCTCGTATTCGAGGATCCATCATTCGAGAAGTGATAATCCTACCCTTGTTATATTCCGCGCGCCCTCCTTCGCCATTCGCTCGTGGGGCTTCTCGCCTGCGAGTCGATATAGATGTATATATCTCAGCGGAATGTCGAAAGTTATAAGCTGCCCGATCCGAAACTTTTATTTTGGATGTTTGTTCGACTCGCACGCTCTCCCTCTCTCACGGTATCGGAATGAGATCGCGCGTACGTTGCTCACAATTAAAACGCGCTCGACATGTGACGCTCGTTAAACACCGAGGTTATGCCGATCCGGATAAATATTTACCGTTTGCTGGCTCGCGTAGGTAGCAATTATTACGACGAGGCTGTCGTTTCGCTCTCGCGCTGCACACCCGCGCTTTATCAGACTCCGCGAGCCTCGTATTCGACACGCGCTTTCGCTGGTTCGTTTTATCGCGCCACACTCGTCCGACGGGAACGTTGTTTTCGCCTCCTCGAATCATCCTACCCTCGATCGTACGAGCCCCCGCCGCACCTGTCCGTAATCTCATCACTCTCCTCTCCGTATTCTTACGGTAATGTCTTTTTTCTGCACGGAAACTCGAATTTTTTTTTTCTTCGAAACGCACCACCGCCGAATACAAATACGGTTCGCTCGAAACTTTTACCCGTCAATCGCTGCTCGCGAGGCTTTTCTTTCTTTTTTCGATTACGCCGACTTGTCGAATCATCGTTAAATGTATTATTTCGTAAAGTTGCAGTTTGTCTTTCGAACGATAAACAAAGATAATAGGTACCTCGGAAAACGTTCATGTCCACCGGTGACTCGTAAATATTTCAAAAGCTCGTACATCCAGAGAAATCTAAATAACCAAGGTTTGGAATGCATTGCTGCATAAATCTCTGGTTGAAATATTGGAAAAGGCTCAGCAGGAAACTTGAAAAAAAAAGAAAAAGGGGAAAAAAGCATAGTCGACTCAAAGTAACCTTATGAATTTATTCGAGTAATCTATCAAAGGCACATCTTCGTATGTCCTTTTACAATAAAGGATGTAGTAAAAAAAAGAACGCGGGCATGAAGGACTGCACCGCTGCAAGAAATTCACTTGGTGAGAGCATTGAAAATTCCTAGACGGAGAAAAACAAGGGAAAGCAAAAATGGAAAGAGTTCAGTGTCGTAACAATAAGCTCTAAGCACACATGCACTCGCCGAGAAATTCAATTCAGCGACAGCTGGCAAGATAAAATTTTTAAGCAACGGTTGTACTTGGCGCAGGGGAGGAAAGAAGCGTTAATCGCACTCGCGAGACATCGAGTCATCGGAGAATTTCATCGGCGAGATAGACCCAAGTATTCCCCAGTGTTGCAGACACTTACGACTGCCAGACATTTTGTGCTCAAGCAAACGACCAGCTTCCAAGTTTGACGAACCTGACAAAATTATGGATTTTATCGCTCGCCGTCGTCATCGTTTTTACGCGCGATGAAATGGCGTCCAGCCGGATATATAACGTTGCGACACGATGCGTTAGCTTATTTATAAAATCATGTTAATTCGTAGGTGCGCTCGCTAGCTCTGGACGTTTATTCAGGTATGGCGTGCTTCGATCATATTACGCAATTTTATGCCGAACCGTGCGTGAATTATGCGCGTGCCGTAAGTAAATGCTACTCACTTCGCTCGAGCTTATATAAAACTCTCGTTTGTATACGCTCCAATCGTGATTCTCTTTACGATATCGCGATACAAATGGCTAAATCACGTAGCTTTCACGTGCTTTAGCTAACTTCAACTTTTTTCTGAAGCTTTCATCGCTCGTGTAATATAATATTTTTCGCAACTGGTGATTTAGTATCCTACATAACGGTATATATAAGGAGAGAGAGGGAGTAAGAGAGAGAGAGAGAGAGAGAGATAAAGAACACGTCAAAAAGCCGAAAGGGTCGGCTGAGAGATAAATCCGCCTTTGGTGCGAGGAAAGCGGGAAAAAGTTGGAATGGAAAAGTCATCGTTCGTAGGATATAAAATTAGAAGTCCGAAGTTAAACTCCCAAAGTGGCTAAGGGAATGACGATCTGTCCGAATCGAAAAGCCGCTGCAGTTACTCTCTCTCCGTCTCCCTCAAGCTCACTCGTAAAGCTGCGGCGAAAGTTAAATCAACTCAACCACGACTTTCTGTTGCGCGTACTTGCAGAAGAGCGAGACAGGTGCCCGCGCACGCACACACAGAGAGAGGAAATAAGATTGGTGAAATTGGCGAATCCCCCTCTGTCTGGCAAATAGAGAGCCAGTCGCATTCGTCGGCAGGCTAGGTACGCGCAAACACGGAAGCCCACGCGGACGTATTCTCGGATACTGCGCTCGAATTGCGAATTAAGCCGCGTCTCGTTTGCTCTGCTTGCGGGACTCGCCGGCCGAAATTGCCGTGCGCGCCGTCGCCGCGAGCTTTCCAAGCGGGATTATACCTCTGCTGTGATATATGTCTCGCCGTGAGGCCCGCGCTATTTACTTCGCTCGACCGATGATTAATGAATTTCCGCGGCCGCGACCATTCACTTAGAGTACCTCTTCGCACGTTCACCCAACACTATAGTTTTGTCTAATTGCTTTCTCTTTAGTTATTACCAGATCCCGCGTTTCGATTAACCTTGCCTATCATTGTGTCACGGCTACCCAGCGCTGATGCATTTATCAGAGCGCTGAAAACTTTTCAAGCCACGTACGATAATTGGGCGCGGAACGCAGCAGCCTGTGCTTCAACTTGCAGACCTGGCATTTTTCTTATCTTTGCTTGGAACATTATGTTATCGAATCGGATATGCGATTCACTGGGGATCATGCCATTATCTTGTAGCACTACACCAACTTTTCAATAGATCAATTTGAAGTTTCGAGATGTTCCCTTTTGTAGCGTGTAGACGGAGTAGCCGTCGTCCAAACGAGATATACTTTCTCGCGAGCAAATTGACCATTGGACAAAGAAAGCGTGTAGTGTATACTTTTGAAAGTTTTATTAAACTTTGCAGAGCACAAGCGTACACACAAAGTATTTGCGTGCCTTGTTTTTTCAAGTAAAAATCGTAAATGTTCTGGCTGCTAAAGCAAAGCGAGAGCGCGCCAGTTAAAAAGGCCGAATATGGCGTCGAAAAAGCAAAAAATAATAAAAATAAAAAAAAAAATCGCGATAGTATGTAAAATGAAACTTTTTCTCATAGCCCCCGCACAACCGCTGCATGGACTTGTTCAAGTTCTCAGTTGCGCAGTCGAGATTTTCGACAAACAAAAGTTTGATGCTTTTTTCTTTTTTATTTGAAGCACGAACACGCGTGGTAAAGGCGCTTACCGCGGTAGCGTATCCGTATATCAGTGTTGTCTGTTTCAGTCGTAGTGATGTGCGCCAACGCGACGACGATAAGAGAGATACTGCTGGCCGCGGAGGAGCTGGGCATGGTGGATTCGGGCGAATACGTCTTTTTCTCAATCGAACTGACAAGCAGGTAAGAGCACTACCACGAGCTTCCTTTCTTTACTTTTATTCTTTTGTCCTGCCCCTCTCTCTCTCTCTCTCTCTCTCTCTCTCTCTCTTTCTCTCTGCCTCCCACTGTCGCCTTTGTCAAACTGGATCAAGTCCTCTCCTTCGCGCACCCGCGAGGGACGTGGCGCCATTTGCAGGTTTAGCCGCTTGAATTATTATTTACTCACTCCCTAGACGAATAAATTCACCGATAGATTCGATGACGACTGGCTACGGTTTTCGAAGTAATCACAGAGAAAGCGTTATCGAAGCAAAAATTTGGCGAGCGAACGATATTAGCAGATTAATGCGGAGGAAATAACAATAATTCGCCGGCCAAACTATCGTTATTTATAAGGCTAATAACGGGGCGCCGCGGCTAAATTAATGCCTCGGATCGATCGGCCGTGGCGTCGGCGGCAACTGGTGATTAACCCTGCAGATCGGCTTGATATTGGTCTGGCCCACGACAACCCTGCGGACAATTGCACTTGCCCCTTAAATTGGAAACCTCAGATCGATGTTGTTGGTTGCGGCTACTGCTGCGAACTATCGGCTACCGCCTTTTCGCTTCCAGTTCTTTTTTTCCGTGGGTTGTCTTAGATTGAATTACCTGACTTCTAAGCTTCGCCACTCTGGTAATTTACGGTCTACTGCTGACGATGCCAATCGATCGCTCGACTCCTGACCAGTAATTTTGCGCAGTACCTACTTCGATTAATAGAACAAGTGCGCATTCAGCTAGGATATTATGTATCGGGTCGATTCAGCAAGTTTGGCATTTGCCAAGTAGCAGCCGTATACTTTCTCATTTTTAATTCCCTCGTGTGCCTGGCAAACTATCTAAGGACGGAATTCTCACTATTCTAAATTCTTCGAGAAGTTTTGAGAAGGGAATTGAGATTCCGCCACTTTTTTTTCGCATTCATTTTGCACCCGCTAAATTATTATTTGCATATAGGTGCACCGTTTAATGGATAAAGTTTGAGATTGGAAGATTATTTTACGGAGTTGCGATTCCATTTCGAATTGGCGCGCATTGATAATTTCTACTTAGGAGCGGATTACAATTAGCCAAGGCTATTAGTCGAGCACTTTGGTTATTTTTGTTTGACTTGCAAGACGGAAAGAGGGTAGTTATAGCCAATAATTAACGAGATTCCGAAGTAGCGAACACGAAGAGGCGAAAAGTGGAGCGCGGGGGCGTGTTCCTTAGCGTATGGATTCTTCCAGAAAGTTAACTAATTCAGCTTCGGTAAAACCGAACGTGAGAGAGCGAACGCGCGAAACATCGACTGTTTCCTCAGTCGAGAAATAAAAGGTTCCCCTTTCCGTAGCAGCTATTTGCCTTTTCATTGGCAAACGAATCCTCGACTGCCTTAAGAGATCATGTTTAATTTATGAAAGCCAAGCGGTCGTTTCTTTGTGCTTGAAAGGCGCTGCTCTGCGGAAGTCTTCATCTTGGGCAATTATTTAATATTCCAACAAGTCATTAGCTCCTCCATCGATCGATTTATTTTTTGCTTCCACAGACGTATCTTTGTGAGTGGCAGTTTGTCTGCGCGAGCCGAGGATGATAATGAGAGCACAGTTGCACGGCCGAGTCTGGAAGCTTTTACTCGGAGAAGCAATTTTTCTCGGTGGCATTATGCAAACGGCCGCGGTGAATACAAGTTCTGTTCACGCGATGCTCGTGGATAGTCCATTAGGGCTCGAATAAAGAAGAAGAAAGCTTTTATTCAAAGTCGTTTGCTGAATTAACAAACGGTGAATCTTCACTAACGTAATTTAACCGGGCGCGCGGTGCAATTAATCCGCGTGAGATGTGCTTGTGAAAGCGGCATCTCCAGTGCAGTGCGAATGTATGAACAACTGCCATCTGTCTGTCTGTCTGTCTGTCTGTCTGCCTGTCTGTCTCTCCACGTTTGCCTGCGTGTAAGCCGACAGCAGCAGCGGCGGCGGCAGCAACGAACGCGTGGGCAATTGGCCGTGTAGACATTCCGGCTCGCGTGCATGCATTGCGATGCGTTTTCATTCTGTCATCCGTTTATTGTGACGAGTGCGGGCTTCGCAAGCTTGCCCATTTGCTCCTGCTCGAATATTCGCATGCGGGGGAATTTAGAATGCGCGCGGGCGAAAATAAAACGAAAGTGGTGGGCGGCTGCGGAATGGCGAGGCGTCATTGCCTATAGGAGCGGCGCGAGCCTGGCGCACCGCATCCTTCGCACGCGCGCGCCCGATCTGCTTCCCACGCAAATATTGGATTTTTATGAAATATTCATGACGGCATCTCAACGTTTTTCGATCGCGGCGTCTTCCCCGACCTTGACTCGTACCACTTGCCGCGCCAAGCCATAAATCATCGCGCGTTGCGTTGCCTCTCGCTTTTCCTGTCGCAGCGACAACAACACGAAGGAGCCATGGCACGTGGAGGGCGACAGCGAGGAGCGCAACCAGAAGGCGCGCAAAGCCTACCAGGCGTTGCTGACCGTCACCACTCGCACGCCCGACAACGTCGAGTACCTCAATTTCTCGCGCGAGGTCAAATCACTGGCGCAGAGCCGCTACAATTTCACTTTCGGCAACAGCTCGGTGTCCACCTTCGTCACGGCCTTCTACGACGCCGTCCTCCTCTACGCACTGGCTCTCAAGGAGAGTCTACCCGACAAGCCGGGCGAGGTCAATCTCGACGGCGGCAATCTCACTCGGCGGATGTGGGGCCGAAGTTTCAAGGGTGCGTATACAGAGCGCGGCGACGCCAACGTCGTTTCTCAACTCCATCGTCGAGTTGTGTTTACAGGCATCACGGGCGATGTGAACATAGACGAGAACGGCGATCGCATAGCCGATTACTCGCTTCTTGACATGAATCCCGAAACTTCCAAGTTTGAGGTAGGTGTGCATTACCCTCTCCTCTTCATTTTCCCGTGTGCGATCGATATTTTGCCAACGCAACGGATTATTTATATATTGGTAAAGAGCTCTCGAATTGGGGTCGCTTGCACATGTCATGGAAAATAAATGTCGACCGAAAACACAACAATTTTATCTGTTCTTGTTTCGATGAATTTTTCAGAATACGATGTTTTCTTTTCGTTATCTCGCAGTTGATTTTACCTTGACTGGAGCTTTTCGAGGGCTTATTGAAAACGATTACTCGACTTTTGCGACCTGTTAATTAAATTGCTTTCGACGTGAATAGATTTAAAAATATACACCTACTGGTCGATTTGTCAGCTCGCCATTACCATCGGTTCGGGTTGATTGGAATCGTGATCGCCCCTTTATGTCTGACACATAAATTGAACGGATTGATAAGTTTGTTGATAAGAGCACTGAGCAAAGTATAGAAGATAGTTTAATGCAAAATCGATTGGAGTAAAAGTTCTTGTTGAAAGGTTCGACAGTAGCTTGAACCGACGAGAAAGATTGGCTAATAATCATTGATGGGATTTGATGAAAAAGTCAGAGTGGTGAAAGTTTTGAAAAGTTCATTAAGGGTTGTCGAACGTTGATGGAAACGCGAATCTTTTGAGGATATTTCGCTACTAATAAAATAAGTTAGGATCGCATTATCAAATCAAAGTAGCAGATTTGAGGACGAGGAAGGGTACGATTCGATTGACTCGGTACATCTCGTGAAACAAAAGCTTGTCAGTGAAGCTCATCGTGCTATCAGCTCTCGGTGGAAAGAGTAGGCAGTGAATCTTAGGACGCAGCGCACTTTTTGCCGTTAAACGACTTGTTACAGATAGTGGCAAACTATTATGGAGCGAATAAAACGCTGGAGTATATACCGGGCAAGAGGATACACTGGTCGGGCGACCGGCTGGAGCCGCCACCGGATACGCCTACCTGCGGCTTTGACGGATCACTCTGCCCGGATAAATGTGAGACATCGCCTTTGTATTGCAGCACTACGCGGACGCGAGCTTTCTTATAATTTTCAGGCCAGCTTGCGGCGTATCGCGTCCGCGTTCACGAATGTGTCGAGATATATTTTGGCCCATCGCACGGGCCCAATCGGCCATGATCCGTACACTCGCGCTGTGACCGTTATGCGCGCGCTGCATCTAATGGCCTGGAAATTTCGAGTTGGCTGGCCGGGGAGCGCTGCTGTGGCCAAAGGTTAATTGAAGCTATGGCCGCGGTTCGTTGCTCTAATGACGTGCGAAGCCCCGGTCATTGTTGCACTTATCGCCCGATAACTCGTGTTTCAGCGCTGCCGGGCTACGCCATTCTCTCAATTGTGCTCAGCTCCATCGTTGTTGTGCTCGTCGTTGCCTCGGTTTTCATTTACAGGTGAGTACTCTCTCTCTCTCCCTCTCTCTCTCTCTCTCTCTCTCTCTCTCTCTCTCTCTATCTCTATCTCTTTGACACTTGATCCTCTGTTGATTATCTCGCAGCCCACGCCTTTAGATATTCCTATAGTCGATAATTAAAACCTCATGGCCACATAATCAAACCTACCACCCGACTGCCCCTCCTTTTATTAAAACTCGTTAGAGAAATTTTAAACAGCTGGTAATGTACGCGAGTTTAACAGCTTTAATTTGTACGGCAGAACAGCGTCGAAAGGATCAATTTAATCTCCGTCGAAAAACTAACTTGCCTCGGTGCAGCGAAGCGCAAGCGTTTCTTACGTCGTTACGCACAGCCAAGAAGAAGTTTAGAAATTTTTTCTCATCAGTGTCCCGTGGACGCTATGTAGCAAAGCCTGGAAATCATCGTGAGCGCGCGCGCTAACACGACTCGCGTGGTATGGCATCTGTAATCAGCTAAAACAGCTTTGAACGCAGAACGAGCAGTCCGAGCTCTCATCCGATAAACGATGAGTTGGTTATAAAGAGGCATTTTTCTCTTCTCGTCTTCGGGAAATCGTATCATCGATACAATTCAAAGAATATATTGACCGAGCTGCCAGCAGAAAATCCTATGATAATCGGCGATCAATGTAATTTCATTTCAGGGAGTGACCAGCCAGCGAGATTATTCTCCGACTTTCAGAACTTAACGCGGTAAATCGATATCACTGAAAACAGCGCAGTCGAGCGAATCTATGAAGAAAATTATCGGGATAATTTAAGAGTTCCATCGACGGTCGCTGGCAAGGCTAGTGGCCCGAGTGGAACCTCGTGTTCGTTCCCACACGGCTCTGCGGCGTCTCGTCCGCACTTTTACTGCGCGTCGCGTTACACGTACGAGTAAGATACGGGGAAGTCGATGCCTCTCGATCACCGTCGTCGATGCTACACGGCGCGGCTTCGTTGTCTGCGCGTATGATTGCTCCGTAATTCTTCAAAACTTTACGATGTATGCGCGCGTGCACGTGTGGACCGTTGCGCATACGCTGAATAAACTGGCCGGATAAACGTTATTCCACGCGTCAACGCAGTTTTTTTGGGCGTCCACTTCGACTCAACTTATTAATTTAAATTGCGAATTATTCATCAGCCGGTATTTATAAATTTAAGCTGAAAATGTGTGTTTGCGCGTGTCAGCGCGCTCGCAAGAGAGAGAGAGAGACGATGGGTACGCGAGCGCCACGGACTAGACGCGAAGAGGTGTGATATCGGACATACAGTTGGGATATAACGGTGGTTCGCGTGTGCTTACCTAACGGGCTTTTTGCGACTCGCGATTTACGGGCCGGCTTGCGCAATGCCGCAGCGAGACGTGCGTAACAAGACGTTATCTCGTTAGTCGTCGCTGAGCCGTTTCTCTACTCTCTCTCCCTCTCTCATTCTCACTCGCGCGCGCTATCGCTTTTCATAACACACTCGCCCGCGTCGTTGTAATATTGCCGGGCATCGCTCAAAGTCGCAGCTTTACGAGTTGAGAGGACAAGTTTACGGGCTACCACGAGCGCGAGAGTCGAGTAAATCGCGAGTTCTTTTTTGCTCACGCGGTTTTTCTTTTACTTATTCAGTTTCGCTTCAGTCGCAGCAATGTAAACACGCCAAGTGCAGCCGTAGATTGGACGCGCTCTCTCTGTTATTCCGCGAAAAAGCTCCGATAGTACATTTGCCGCTAGAAACTTTACCGAAGAATGCTACGCGACACGGTCTCTCTGCCGTTTACGATCGGAATCCAGTGGCGCGATAACGCTCTCGCCGACGGCAACGTACGTTCTGTCGCGGATACGATTTCCATTATATACACCCGTGACTTTGTACCTCGATTTTACTGCATCCTATTATTCAAACTTATTCTCGCAGCATACATGTATGGTTTATCACGTGCTCCGGGGACATACGAGGCGCGAGAAGCTCCATCTATTGCAATCTTTCATCGTAAAACGCGGAAAAACATTTCGATACAAATTTAATCAAATCAACGTTGAACGTAAACCATAAGACAATGGATACCGAATGATAGCCTGGAACGATTAACACGAAGGCAATCTTCGCTCCAAACTAATCTGCTGTCAATAACGGAAAACTCGCAGTAGCAGAAAAAAAAGGAAGAAAAAACCGATGAGCGTTGCCGTTACAGCATAGGGCAATCGGTTTCTGTGCTCGACCCCCGGCGCAAGAAAAACGAGGGGAATGAGTTAATTAAACATCATCGATTGCAACCTTTGCTATTTCTCTCGATCTAGCTTCTCCTCTTTTTTCACTCGCGTTATTTCCCATCGACATCACACGCGCGTAGCCGAGGCTGGATGATGGTGGATGACATCCGAAAAATAGTTTGGAGAGCAGTCAAGGAATTGAGATTGTTCGGTGTTCGACAATCGGAGTACGACTGATTGCTAGAGTCGTGGGAGCTTGAAGAACTGGCGACAATGCAGACGGAGAGCCAGGCGAAACTTGTTAACGAGTTGTCGGCTAGTGGCGTGTGCGTCGCTCTTGGGCACTTATGTTGCTGATGCAATTTCTTCGTGACAACACGCGCGACCTATCGTGAAACGAGAGGTGGTGGGAGTGGCTAGTCTCCCCTTCGGAGCTCTCTCGGCATGGGCAGCACACGCAACAGCGCGATCCATCGTCGTGCCTACCCCGATGTCATAGCCAGCGCAATTAGAGGTTTGCGAGCTCGCGCGACAATGTACTTGATATATAGCAACAGGGGCGCGCGCAACAATGTTTCTCTGCCCACAGTTATTTTGGCTGTCAAGCAAGCTCTTGGCAAACCCGAGTAATGGCATTATCATTTGTTCGCACTTTACAGCTCTTACTCGTATTCACTCGGCTCAAAACCGACACTCACCGCTGAGAGATTTCCCCGCGCAGTCACGATAAATATGCAAGTTCCGTATTTCTCTCGAATATATGTACAGCCATATAAATAGAGGACGACTTTAATTACAGCCACTACAAAGCGCCATTCCCAAATTAATCGGTTTACTTAAACAAAGCTACTGGGCCTTTTGTTCGACTTTTCAAGACCATCCGAGCAGTCGAAAGCTTATTATTCAACTAGTTAGCGAAATTTCCGTCCTGGCCAACTTTTCATTCCTCAACTGCATGCTTTGAAATCTCCTGATGAAATCTTCAATTTCGCGAGCTTTGAATGTTAATTGCCAATCAGTATTCGACAAAAACTTGGTATCCGACAGACTCCATCTTGGTGATTTGTTTGCCTTTGACTTTGAACTGTTGTCAAAAATAAAATGAAAATGGCTGGCTTATTTGCCATAACTAATTGTCAGATTTTAAGTAAAAGAAAGTTTTGTGCAGCTTCAGTCAGATTACGTAGATTAAAAAGTCTAACTCGCGATAATACGTTTAACCTAGTTAATGGTCTTAAGTCCGACTGGCTAATTTGGTATTCGAAACATTCGGGAAACTCGACAAAACTGTTCGACTCTGCACTGCGCAAAAATAGTATGCGAGAGAATAACTCAAATTGCAGGACTGGCAATTCCATTGAAACGGCAATCCGCGGTCGTTTTAGGGTCTAATTGTTGGAGCGGAGATATTTGAATAATAACCATTGTTGCTCGAAAATGTGTATTTAATCTTCAAACAACATTCGCACACGCAGCGATCTTTTGAATGCCATTATAAGCATTCTTCTGAAATAGGTCAATCCCGCGTATCCAATTAACCTCGATTCATTCCACGTATAAATTTCGCGAATAACCGATAATTGACACGCTATCATCGTAGATTCGACCAATTACTCGTGGGTTTGCATTCGATCGAAGGAAAAATCCATTTGAAATCATCCGTTTAGACGATTAGAGTGCGACGGATTGCGCGCTCTGGATTGTCAGGAGGTGTAGCTTCGCAGTTTTCACTCGAGGCGAGCGCGCGCCGTGTCACTTAAATTTTTGCAAAAGAAAAAAAAAATATAAATAAACAAAGTCTATTTGCGCGCGAAAAAACAGAGCGAAGAATGGAAGGCGTTCGAGGCGAGAGTCGGCTACGCGTACGACTGCGAATCCCCGACGTATTTCGCCGGGGCGACGAGTCCGCGAGGGTAAAGCGAGCAAACACGCACACTGGCGCGAGGCTCGCTAACGATTCCCGGCCGCGTCTACGAACTTTCGCGGGCTCGTTTAGCGCGCGGTGCACTCGGCGAGTGTCCAATGAATCCAGCGTCCGAGTAAATTTGCATGTCGCCGTGGCCGCCAGCTTATCGCACGTCCCGATCAGGCTGAGGCGCACGGAATTTCTCAATCCCACTAAAGCTCGCTCTATCAGCATCGAGGGGGTACGAAGCACCACTGGAGGGCTTGCAGCGGACCGCGAATCACGCGTCGGGATTATGTAAATTCATGCAAATGGCTGTATAATGAGCGCTTTTTTTCGTTCCTTCTGCTTCTCGGCCGCTGTCATCGTCGCCGCCGCTACTCGATGCGGGGTCGCTCGAGGAACACCCTGCGCGTCGTAGCAGCTCCACCTTTTAAGGGGCCGTAAGGTATCGCAGCCAGAAGACAAGGCTGCTGCTGCCTTCGTTGGTCAACATTTTTACGTAGCTCCGCCGAGCTTCGTTGCGCTTCGCGAGATGACTTTGTCCATTATTCCAGGCTTCCGGTCGCTCGCGGTGATGCCTCGCCGCACCCTCCGATGACGATTGAAGAACATTTCGGGCGACATGATACGCCCGCCTATTATTGATGACGAATCATGCGAGTGATATATAACGAGTGGTAGTGTGGTTTTGGATGGAGATCAATGATGTGAATGACGAATGCAGCACGCTAAGATTGATAAAATTACGAAGCCACTTTTCCTGCGTTATTTACGAGCGTTCGGTATATTCTTTCGACAGTGCTTTGTAAAGCCGAAGAGGAATGAACAGCAGCGGCAACTTTTCTTCCTCGTCTCTTTCGATTTTTCAAACTCACTCCCGAGATCGGCCGGCGCTGGCGGCCGACTAATTGTATTCAAATCAGCGCTTTTGCATGGGATTAAGCAAGTTCATCGTCGAAAGTGATTATCCAGCGTTCACCCTATCCTCACCTCTCACGTCCACTTCTTCTTTTTCTTTCCAGACACTTCAAACTCGAAGCGGAAATTGCCTCGATGACGTGGAAAGTGCACTGGGAGGACGTCATTGTTATGCCAAGCGAAAAGTTCAAAGCCGGATCCATGTACTCACTCGCGCCCAACAAGCAGCGTGGAAGTCAGTTGGTAAATTTAAGCACTTTTACGGAACATTCTTACGTTCGTCGGCTTCATTAATGTTTCTATTAAGTTCAATTCCATCTGCGACGTTTTTACGAAATTCGCTTGTTTCTAAATAGCTGACGAGGTACAGGAGCAACCAGCTTATGCTCAGAGAAAACCTCGCTCAATGGAGAAAGAAATAGCGTTTCGAGAAAGATAATTAGAACAATAATTTTAATAAATCTAATAGAGAGAATTGCGGTCATAGGACGCTGCGTGATGCACTTTTCGTTACAGGCAAACCACGAGTAATTAAAACTCAAGGGGAAACGAGCATCTATGTTTCGCTATGCAATTTACGAGCTTTCTCAATGAACACCGTAGATTTATTGCCTAAACTTATGAATTAATTTTCTTGGTATTTGTATAAAGTTGATATCACCGAAACGGCTTATTGACGGAGAAAACTTGATTTCATAATCATGGCAGTGTTTCTATTCGAGACACATTTTTTATTTAAAGTTCAGCAATTTATTTCTCTAACAAAAGCGTCAAAGTTGAGCCGAATAATGAAACAAATGAAGCAGCAGCAGACTTGAAACTCTGCCCGTTCTATATTCAGCAACTGTAACTGTCCGCAAAACGAATTCGAGACGAAAAAATTGAATGAATTTACAAATTAAAAATTCGGTTAGCAGGAGCTGGCAAGATTACCTTGCAAGTTTTGCGTTCGCCCACGGCTTATTTGAAAAGTTTTTACTATTCAGCGGAAAAGCGTAAGTAAGGCAGTTGAATGAATTTCCAAGTTGCAAAAGCAAAAGCTCGGGGGAAAAAAAGAAACGGCGGCGAATTGCGGAAAAATAGCGTCGGTGAACGAGAGGACGAATGACCGACGGAAATAGAAAGCAGCAGATCGGCTCATAGCTTTCGACAGTGATAATTCGTCTGAATGAGGCTGATTGAATTGTTGTCTATGGCGTATGAGAGCTTTGATCCATCGAAAGTAGACGCTCAACTTTTCGGCACCAGATATCACGTTCTATTTTTATGCTGCTTTCGCCTCCATTTATTTCTTTTCCTCCAGGTATTCCATATTAATCTGCTTCGCGGAAGGGTAAGGGACGGGTGGTGGCTGTCCGTTGGAAAAGGCTGCTGCCGCTTGCGAGCGCGTACGTAAGCTCCCTCGGTTATCTTCTCCCCGGTTTTCTGACATCCGGGCGGCGAGGAGGTCCGGACAAGAAGGGAAAGTAGCAGCAGTAACTCGTAAAGTAGACTTAATGTCTGCGAGCTGGTAGCTCCGGACGCGAATATAACAGTCATCGAGAATTAAAGAAGCTGTAAGCTTTCGCCTCTCCTCTCTCCTCGGCCGGTGTTCGCGCGTTGCTTCGGGAGCCTCCTCCTCCTATATTAGTTGCTTGCGTCGAAGCATCTGGTCTACATCTTACAGGCTGTTCGTAAAAATGTCATCGATGCATCGATTTTGCATCGTTTGTTCGCAGAGCATATATTCTATGGACAACGCGAGTCTGCCCGGCGGAGTGGACAGGCGCTCCTTCGTCCCCACGGGAATTTACAAGGTAAATACATTACCCTTTGCGACTTACTCGCGCCCTACTTACTTTCGCCTTTTCTTATTGACAGCTTTATTTTTATTCTCTTTCTCCTTAACGGATAGTTTTAGCAAACAGTATACTTGCTTCTTCTCTCTCTTTCTCTCTTCCCATTCCTATTTTTCACTTTTATATTCGCTGCTGCCTTCTTATGTCCAACATTACGCACGTCTATTTCAGAACTCCAAAGTCGCAATCAAGGCTATACCGAGGAGCAAAGTCGAGATGTCGCGTCCGTTGCTGCTGGAGCTCAAGAGGGTGAGGATAACTCGACTTTATTTTGCACGTTTTCGCAGACGCACAATAGCCCGTATTCCACGTATTCCTTTCTTATGCAGCTTTCATCAGATTTTCCGGGAAATAATTTTCTTTTCATTACCTCCTTTCGCGCATTTCTCTTGGAGTTGAAGGCCGAGAGCTTGCTGTGCGCTCTCTCTATCGTACAACCTTGTTAACGATAAGTGATTCGCGTAAAAGCGCCTTTGGCGAATATATTTCGACCAAGTAATTGTTGTTGCAGTTATTTCTTTTCTATATTGACTTTCTCTATATATCTGTGTTTTCTATATCAGAATAATCTGTTTGAGTGAAATCGAATGGCAGAAGTTTATATCGCAGGCTCAGCCGCAGAGCATAATTTTGTGCGTCTGACTAAATCAGCATACTACTACTTGTTCAATATGTCTTCTTCGCGCATTGCAAATATAACTCTGGAAAGTTTTTACGAGCGTGATTAAAGTATTTTCGTGTCGAATCGACACAGATATTTTATTTTCTTCGTTGATTACTTATATGAATGCGTCGAGTTTTTGAAAATTCGCGAATAGTTTAGTTATGATACTTACCGGATAGCTGAAGAGCGTTCGATTTTTACAGATGAAGGATCTGCAGCATGATCATCTGGTAAGGTTTTATGGAGCCTGCGTCGAGCCGCCGCACTGCTGTCTGCTCACCGAGTATTGTCCCAGGGGATCTCTACAGGTCTGCTCTCGTTGTTTTTCCAATATTTTCTCCTCATTCACTGCTCGCGTCCAATCGTGTATGTAAATCCGTAGTTCCGCGATAAATAAACAAAAAAAAAAGAAAAAAAGAAAAAAAGAAAAAAAGATGAAGAACAGTTGTTTTTTCTGACTGAACCGAAGGAGGCTGATTTTCAATGAAGCAAAATAAGCATCGAAAGGGTATTTTCGTGCAATTTAACGACTCAGTGTCGAAGAAGAGTGATCCGCGATAAGCCAGGGAGAAGATAACAGATCGAAGCGGTCGGCTTAACTCTAGAAGAAAAGAGAGAGAGAGAGGAGTAAAGAAAGAAAGTGAAGGTGGACCGAAGCTGAGGAAAGCGGGGGCCTCGACCAAGTCAATTTAAAAAGTTGGAAAAGAAAGACCGAGGTAGTGGATTTTATACTTACGGGAGATTGACTTGTACGCTCCACGCAAGAGGCTCACCGGTCAGGGGAAATTTCTCTCTTGCTCGGTATGGTATTCTTTCCAATTAGGATATGAGTCGCTATCGCGATATCGAGCGAATTCGATTGACGATAAACGCTTCTTCGGAGATAGCACTTGAGAAGTGTCGCGACTCGTAGAGTGAAGTAAGCTGAACCGAAGACACGCCGGCTAAAGTTTTGATCTTTTGGTTAGACTTGTCGTCTCGTGAAGTGACTTAGTTGTCCGGCTGTCTCGGGACATCGCGTGCATTCGGGGTATTGTATGCAGTGCAGGGTCGTTCCCTGGACCGAGTCAATCTGACGGTGTGGCTGATTGCATGCGCAGGACATCCTGGAGAACGAGCAAATGAAGCTGGACCGCGTGTTCAGCGGCTCGCTCATCCACGACATCGTGCGAGCCATGACTTACCTGCACGCCTCGGAAATCCGGAGCCACGGCAATCTCAAGTCGACCAACTGCCTGGTGGACTCGAGGTTCGTGCTGAAAATCGCAGACTTCGGACTGCACGAGCTGAGGAGAGCGCGTCCACTGGACGCCAACGAGGACACCAACAGCTACGCCTACTGGCGCAGTGAGTTAATAATGCAGACGCGGTTAGGCGAATCGAGCACTCTTCGGGGACGTCATTATCTTTAAATATTCAGCCGCGAAACGCGATCGGAGGGGCTTTTCCATGATTAATATCTTTCCAAACTGGCTCACAACTGATGATTTCCAAACGATGTTAGCCTCTCAATTATTCAGCCCGCGTGCCTTCCCATTGTTCGCCTTATCCCTCGAGCTGCTAGTAACGGTCTCATGCATTCGACAACGACTGCCGTTGTGTGCCCGAGGCTAAATTTCTGCGGCGGTGCGAGCGGCGTTTCATGCGAATTGCCGTCGAGCGAGCGAGCGAACGCGTGGTCCTCTCGGAGACATTCGTGGCGCGTGCTCCTAAACTGAAACGTTCCGATTGCAGATCAAGTGTGGACGGCGCCCGAGCTGCTGCGAATGGAGCGAAGACCGCCTGAGGGTACGCAGAAGGGTGACGTCTATAGTTTCGCCATAATCGTTCATGAGATCGAGGTGCGCCAGGGCCCATTCTACCTTGGTCCAAACACCAATCTCTCTCCGAAAGGTGAGTTTTTCGTATCTTTCTTGCATCGTTCCATTTTTTTTGTTTTTTTATTGTTCAAGTGCGTATGTGTGTGTGTGAGTGTGAGAGAGAAATAGTTTCGTCACTTTTTTGCCCAAGGGACTTTGCTAAGGCTTTCGTTTGTTAGCATCTGTGTACTCGGAGATTTCTTATACTTTACTTATCTTTATTTTATTTGTTCTCTTCTCTTAGCCAGCTTACAGTTAGCTGTAGGGAAAAACTTTTAATTTTTGCTAAAACATGCTTGATATAGGATCAATTTGGAAAGTAGCATAGAGCGCGGAAAACGAGTAGCAGGGTTGTGCGATGCTTATTTTGTTAATAAGGTGTGCAACATTGAGAAAGAGCAGCGGTGGCAGAGCGGCTATGAAACTTAAAATCTTTAAGCCGTCGAGCTCGAACACGTTTTACGCTAGATTGACCAAACAAATTGTTCGGAAGCTCAGCTTCAATTTGGTGCGCTGGTGTGTGCAGAGCCGCTCCCGGTGGGCAAGACATTCTCGTATCGGAGCACTTACAGCGTGAGCAGCTGCCCGAGGTAACGGACCAAATATATATAGAGAGAGAGAGAGAGAGAGAGAGAGAGAGAGAGAGTCGACAGCTGGACACTAATTAATCGGAGCATCATCTTAGAGTGGTTTTGTCATGGAGATAAATATGCTGAACTGGCTTCGGTGTAGTTTTTCCGTGAGACATAATTCACAGTACAGCGTCGACTGCGGCTTCTTTGGCGTACGCAAAAAATTCACGCGATACATAAGCGGTCGGCGTTCTGATGAAAAAATTCCAGCGCTCCACCTAGTAGACAGTGAGAAAGAGAGAGAGAGAGAGAGAGAGGGAGAGAGGGCAGGAGCGAGATGGAACGTGTCTATATGTGTCCCTCAGCCGATGTCTAATGATCCCATGCGTTGCTCTTTCGTTCACCCGTCGGCGCTCGGAAGCTTCTTTTTTCTTGCTCCCGTGCCATTCAAATTTTTTCCCCGGGACTACTGAAAAAAACTCTTAGCCCCGGCGAATTTTTCCAAAATTCAATTTTTTAATTAGGCTGGCAGCTCTCAAAGCTGAAAGCACTTTTTATCGCTTGTTTATTATCCCCCCTCCCCTCCATCACCGACAAAGGTAATTCTGATGTAGTTTTCATTGCTCGATTGTTTCGCTACAATGATGACGATTATATCGAAAACATAGATATATAATTTGAAAATTTGGAAATTATATCGATGCCATGCAAAAATATCAATTTCGCAATTGTTATTGTCGAATATATAGCGTTATTGGAAAGCTGTTAAATCGGTCAGGCATGATGGGATATCACTGTTGAATACGTTCTATAAAGTTTACGATTGTCAACACAAGTGGTTGCGTGATATGGATAATGCATTGTGACTGACAGGCTTATGAAAAACTACGGCTTCTTGATGAAACGTACGCTTGCACTATTATTGTCCGAACTTTTGCGAAAATTTGGTGTCGATAAAGCCCTAAAAATCGTTACGCGTTTGTCGTTCATGAATATTCGATTGTCAGGATGGTCCCTTCGGTGTACGCACGAAATTATTAATAATAGCTCATCACGATATATTACGCAAGTTTACGTATCGCATTAATACTCAAACGTTGCCTAGTCGGGTGCCAGCCGCCAGAAAATACGTTCAACGCTAATACGTAATAAATGGGAGGCTGTCACTGTGCATCGTGAATAAGTAACGCATAGCGCTTGCCACACGCGGGATATCCAGTCCAAATGCAGTGGCGGCGATGGCAAAAAAGTTAACCAACCGAAGCGTTACGAGTGTTAGCGCAGTGCTGCTTGAAAAGCGAAACGAAGCTCCAGCTAATTGCTAGATTCTCGATGCTGTTGCGGCATGTAACGCTATAGAGGTATTCTCGGTTGTTATACGCGTATAACTTATAACGTTTCTGTCGAGTAGCCCCCGACGTATATTTTTCTACAGACATATGTCGCTTGGTAAAAGAAATATATAGCCGTGTCAAGTACGAAGCCTATAAAAATTGTAGAATGTTCGGTTTTCGTCGGTACGCGACACCCTTCGAATCCAGGCTGCTATATTTACGTAGATAAATGTGCGTCAAGATACGATCTTACGCGTGCGTCTCGCTATATGCTCGGCATCCATTCACTCGCTGGTGCACTCGCAATCCCTCAATCTTGTTTTTAAGAGCGCTCAGCCATCCAGCCCACGTTGCAGAATCCGCAAGTGTATTTCACGAGCTCGGAGACGAACAATTCGTAAAGCACTACGTAAGAACGATTGCCTTTATGCGCTACTCGCTTGTCGAATAGCTGCCACGGGATTTTCCGAGCTTCTCGCCTTAATCACTTTTATCATTTGCGAGAGCGCAAAAGTGAGAGGGAAAGAGAGAGAGAGAGAGAGAGAGAGAGAGAGAGAGAGGTAAATTTTTCCTGTAGCACCTCGAGAAAGACGCGCTTGAAAGCCTGCTCTCCGAGGTTGTCAAAGAAATGTCCCCCCTGCCTCTGTCTTCGCTTTTTTTGCTCGTTCCTTTAATTGAAATTCACGAGTACCCAAGCGCACGCGCGAACTGCCGTCGATAAAAACTATCGCGCGTGGGTTTTTGGGTTTTATCGGTTAGGCGGGCGGAGCTATAGACTCTCTGCTCTTAAATAGGATATTAAATTTTGCGGCTACTGCTTCTCTAATGAGCTACTCGTAGCGACACGGTTCTTCCTCGTGTTCCTGTGAGAGTAAATTACGCTTCGATATTGGCACCAATCACGAAGCAAGCTTGGAAACGTTTTGGCTGTTTTTCAAATGTTTCACACGACAAGAAGAAAGGAAGCAATTGGCGTAGTCACTTTGATGTCGGCCGTATCCCACAGAATTCCAATTATATGGACCATGAAAGAGAATAATTGCGAGCGCTTTCTCTACCATTACGAATCGGTCTACGGCGAATGAAATTCCAAAGAGCGCTGGGTATTCAAGAAACGACACCGTCAATTCTGGATGTTCTTGGGCCGGGCTGTCGTTCGAACGGTCAAGTGGAGGCGCGTCGTTTGAGTAGCTTGAAATCCGCGGGTGAGAGAGCGAGCACGAGCGGCGCGAATTATCGGCACGAGATAAGCTTACCAGCGAAGCATCGATCCGTCTCCGGAGATAGCTGCTGCCACGTCGATAAATCGACCACCGCGACTAAGCGTGCTCCCGCTGTTGCCTTCTCGCGAGCGACTACCCTCCGCGAAGTCTCACCCTCCTGCATTATCGACGCGGCCGCTCGTGGGGTTGGCAGTCTGCCTCCAGCGAGCTCTCGCCGGCCACTCGCCGATCGGGAAAGCTCAGTTGAGAGTAACGCGCGCAGAGGAACGCACACGCCAGCAGTGTGGCGCGTCCGCAATTACCCGACTTGCTGTCCCTCTTGCCACCCCTCGCGACGCGCTCCAACAAGTCCGCACGATCGCGCTTTCCACCCCTCATAGGTAAAACGGTTGATCTCTAGGTTTCGCCTGCTGGCTCGGCAGCTTTTATTGGAATTGGAGGGATCACGTGTCGCCTGCGACCAGCCGCGTGTGTTTGTTTTCGTCTGACGCGAGATCATGAGGAACGACGCTGACGACTGACGGATGTGTGTCGGCGACCGATAGTGTGCGTATACGTGTGCGTGCGTGACATTTAGATATGAATATTTATAGATCTTTCGCTGCGACTTTATATACGTAGTGTTCTCGTAATACGCCCAGGCATTATTTTGCATTGCGTCAACGCTGCTCCGATTATAAACGTAGCCGTGACGACAGAATAAACACCAGTAGTTCTATAGCAAGGAGAGAACAGTGAAACATAAATAGCCGCTCGAGAGACAAAGTCAGCCGTGGCTTCCATAGTATAGAGTTGCGCGACGGTTTATTCTCTAGATAGCACGTCGCTCGCGATTGCTCCTACACTTGCGATGTAAGTAAGACGTAGCGTGGCTATCACGGCAGTGGTCACGGGTCAACGAACCATCAACGCACTTTCACGGAAGGCGAAGACTCACCACCATTGCGAGAAAAACTCTTACCGTGTTCGATCCTTTCCCGTCTCTCTTTGCCCTTTGTTTGCGAGCAACTCTCTCGGCAATTCGCCCTCGCATTTGTTCCCGAAATATTTTCTCTACTGAGTTTACGAAAAGTGTGCGTAGGCTAATATTTGCAAGCTGTTTATTTTACGGTTCGTTGGATCGAGTCGCATGCTTCCAGCTTACGTCTCATCTTGTTTTCTCGGGAAATGAATTCTCGGGAGAGTGCTGGCATACGCTATTTAGCTTTTCTCGGTCGGCACGAACAAAAAGCTCCGCGACCTAACCGCATCGTATATTTCAATTTGTGTTTATGCGGAAGCTCGAAACCGTATTAACACGAGAGACTTTGAGCGTGAGACGCGTGTCATAACTTGCGAAGCTTCTTAGCAAAAGACTTGCGTTGAGTAAGTAGCCTTGCGAGAATCGCAAAAGAATACGTGTGTATGTATGTGCGTGCGTACCTGTGTATTTCGGGTCTAAATATCGATTCGGTCGCACACATTTTTCTCGCTTACGCAATGTGGGTCGCGTGACAAAGGGGCTGCTGCTATACGCTGGCAGAAAGAGGCAGTCAAAGGAAAACCGAAATTCCGTGCCCACGCGCGCGCGCAAAGGGCAAGAGAATGTGCGAACCTACCGGTGCATCGAATGAACTTTCGCCGTGGCTGTGCAATGGTGTTCGGATTAGACTGAATCCCATTCGAACGAATGCTGTGCCCCATTGCTCGTTCTTTCGGGAATTTCAAGTTCTTGTCGCGAAAATACACAGATGGCTTTTCAGCGTGTTGTTCAATATTTGAAATCAGCTTTCGATTGAAAAGAAAAAAGAGCGTCACAGCTCGTGACCTAAGCAACGTGAAATAATTTTCAAGCGAAAAATGTCAGCAAGATTTATGGCTTTACTTTTCTGATTAATTGCATAAATGCTCCGAAAAGATTATCCA